TTTAGAACCAAAAATAAGTTTCAGAATTTCCATCCTTTCTCTATTTACTTTGAAGATAGCAATTCATTTTTGTATGCTGTCTTTTACATGTGTGTATGTGTGTGTGTGTGATCTTTCTTATGAAGGTATCATCTGAGAATTGATGGGTGTATTTGACAGCAATGTTTTATTTTAATTCTTTTTGTATTGCAAATTGAAGATCACTGAAACTTCTGTAAAATTTTTCTAGTTTCCTGGATGAACTTGAACATAAATTGTTTAATGTCATCTGAATACTTTTTACTTTCATAAACTAATATCAAATAATTTTTTATGTGTTCATAGGATTGTGTCTATAGGTTTACATTGTTTCTTTCTTGCTTTTTTGTTGTGGAGTTATTCCGCAGTGGAGGCTTGTCTTTGTACTAAGTCGGTCCTAAAATAGGTTCGATGTACAAAATGTTAGGAACTTGATATAATAGGTATAACGCAGAGTAATCTAGTTGTGGTCACTGATACTTTTGTATTCGACTGTCATCCAACATCGACTTTTTGTCTGACTCTCGTTTCTATTACTACTCCTACTTATATTAGGTGGGAGAGTCTATTAACTATATAATAGGTGTGTTTCACTCCAACATTTTTCAAGTGGTGAATCTCAAAAAATATATATAAATATATATATATATATATATATATATATATATATATATTTATTTGTCCACCAGATCTTTTACCACTTTAAACATTATTTTTAATGGATTCCTATATTTGAGTAGATACTCTGTTTATTTATTAAGTTTATTTAACGGAGCTAAAGTTCTATTAGGATTTCCTTGCTGTAAAGTTTAAATAAATCTGGTGAGATGACTCCTACTTGTTTTGTGCCCCTTTCCATTTTTGATTACTTACTCAATTCATTTTCTATTCATATGCAGGTGATTTCTTTCCAGCATATGTCTTGGATTATTCTAATGTCTTCCCCAAATGCATTAAGTTTTTCCTAGCAGTTCAAATAGATCTTTTGTCTCATATCTGATGAAATACTTTTATGTTGTCTATGAAACATCAGTATATGTCCTTTGGCTACAGAACAGATTCCAGAAAAAATATCTTTCTTTACCCTTTGTATATCACTGATACAAATTTCACAGAAAGTTACAATTTTAATTGTAATTTGTCATAATTACAAATTCTTAAATTAGACAAAATTATAATTTTTCAAAAGACAGACATTTTTGTTATATATATTTATGTATGCAAGGCTGGATTATCCTTTAAGCTAGTATAGACTGCAACTTAGGGCCCAGGGCCAGATTATCCTTTAGACTAGTATAGGCTGCAGCCTAGGGCTCCTCAAGATTTTATAAAGCAATGATTTTAATTTTCTAGATTTTATAACTTAGTTTCATAAACTGAAATGACAGCAATGTGACAAACTCATATTTATTTTGATTGTTTTATTATCATAATGCTGGTTATAAAAAAAATCTATTTTTATTTTTTACTACGGTTGTTTTGAAATCTGTGCTAATTTGGTTTACAATAAATAGTAAAATAGTAGTATTTCTTAAAAAATATTTTTATTGACAAACAAAAGATAGCTATTTTAGTTTATTTAAAGAATTTGCAATAAGTTTACTTCAAGCTCTGTAAATGTTTCTAAAATATATTGCTCGTAAAAAAATATTCAAGTCTGGTGCAGGAGAGTTAGAGAGGCTCCATTTGATTAGGAGGCATAATTTTATTAGCCTAGGCCCCCCCCCAATGTCATAATCTGGCTCTGTATATATGTCTTAAATCTTTCTCTTTCTTTGTCTTTTTTGTCATGATCTGATTTTAAATTTGGCCAATGTTGAATGTAGAAAAAGCAACAAATTTTCTGCTGCTCTAAATACTGTTAATAATACATGTTCTAAACATGTCCAAAATTTTATCCTTAATTATTTTCCTTAAATGGTATAAAGGTTGTCTATCACGAAACAATAATTATTAATGGAACTTGTGGAAGAGTTAATGTATGTTCAAAGGAGTAAAGCAGGTTGTATTTACAAACAAGCATATGCAAATATTGAAATTAATGAAAATAATTACTTCAGAATATAAAGATAGATGAAATTGTTTTTGTGAAGTTTGTAGCATAAGGCTAAATGTTAGCCCAAAATAAAAGAATTTTAAGCGCCAAACAGATTTCAGCTTTATAATGTTAAATAGGAACACCAAACAAAAAAAAAACAAAAATAAAACTGATTCACTCGAAATTACAAAAAAAAAAGAACACACAAAAAAACAAAAAAAACAAATGATGCATTTGTTTGAATTGTCTTCTCGATCTTTACATGAGTGGAGTGATGATTGTCCATCTAGTTCTGTGCTGGTTGTTTTGTATTTTGAAAGTTTGCCAAGAGGGAATGGTCAAGTATTTCAGGAGGAATTTACCCATTTTCTTTCTCTGGCATAAATGAGGTTTTTATCACTCAATTCCACATCTAAATTTGGTGGTCTGCTCACAAGCAAGCTTGCAGTCAGTGTGTCTAATCAACACAACATACCTGTGTGCCGAGCCCCACCTCCTGCTTAGTGATCAACGCTACACCCCCCACCTCCCAATATTGTCTAATAATGATACCTACCTACCCACGTTTATTGTACACAGAATGAATTAAATTGCTCTCTCTGTGTGTGTGTGTGTGTGTGTGTGTGTGTTCAGCTTGGAGATGGACTATGAAGGAGCTGCAAAACTGTCAGAAAATATAACCAGAAGAGTGATTGGGGTGGGTGACAGGTGAGTGGGTGACATTGTGGATCTGTTCCTGTCTCAGTCATTTGGCTGTGAGTCCTTGTTGTGGTGGCATTGGTGTTGGGGGTGAATCATTGAATGCTAAGACTCTCCTCATTCCCAACAACAAAGGCAAAATAACAAGATTAATTAGCCGGGGAGTGAGGGAGTGCAGCATCAGTGGAAGGAATTGAGGGAAAGATTCTTAAATAGAAAAAGCTACTGGGGGACATAAACACATCCTGTGATGTGAACGTTTATTTTATTATCCAAAATGATAGCTGCCTGGCTGACCGACCTATTAGCTGGAAAAGGGTACCTCCTGTAGAATTAGAGGCGATGACATACTCACTATGGGAGAGAAATAAGAATGAGGCGGGGATGGGGGGGTTAAATGAGAAAAAAAAAATAAGGGAAATAATAGACAGTGGAGGGGTATGTCATTTGCACTTGGTTAGAAAGATGGAAGATATTGGAAGATTTTTAGCCCCCCCCCTCTTCTTTTAATTCCAATAAAATTTCTTTATTTCCCTCAAACGCACTTCTGCATCTTTATAATTGTTCCTTCCTTTGCCCGGTTGAGCCAAGTCTAATATTGGGGGGTTTATAAGGGTCAGCTAAGGTTGGACTGCTTGAATTAAACAGGATAGGCTTTCACAGCCCATTTACTGTAAAAATGTGTACATGGTACATACATGGCACTCACACACCCATCCACGCACACACACACACACACACACACACACACACACACACAGAGGGAATGAATGCAAACAAGCAGGTAGGTGAAGTCATGAAATACACGTATAGTAGTAGGTAAATAACTTATCAAAGATGGTCGATAAGTAGAGCAGTCAAGATGTATGTCATTTTTTTTTTTTTTTAAATTAAACTCTCTTTATTTTACATTAAACTACAACAAAAATATTTAAAAAAAAACATTGTTGCGTAGTTTGTCTGCATGTGAAAAACAAATTTATTCATTGTATATATAAACATGAAAAAATACTTGTAAACGATCGATATTTGATGACACATGCAATTTATCAAATATTGATTACATACAATAAATTTTTTTTTTTTTCAGAAAGCACTTGTCATGACATTTAATAAGCCAACTACTATCACAAAAAAACATTATATAAGTATAAACTGGTTTAATTCTTATTAGGTGCTCTATTTTCTTGACCCTGTATCAGAATAAAATGAGTAAATATCTCAAAGTTTTTTTTTTTTGTTTTGATTTTGTTTTGTTTTTTTTGTTTTTTTTTTTTTTTTTTTTTTTTTTTTTTTTTTTTTTTTTTTTTTTTTTTTTTTTTTTTTTTTTTGGTTTTGTTTGTTTTTTTTTGTTTTTGTTTTTTTTTCTTGTTTTTGTTTGTTCTTGTTTTTGTTTGTTTTGTTTTTGTTTTGTTTTTTGTTTTTGTTTTTTTTTTTGTTTTGTTTTGTTTTTACAGAATTTTTGTTTTACCTGATGGGCAATATGTATGAGTGTCTGTAGAATGGATGTGTACATTTACCTCATTAGGAAAAAATCCTAAAAAAATATCAATTTCCAATTAAAAATTTTTAAAAGAAATTTGTTTTTTTACAATTTCTGGTATTAAAAGTTATCATTATTTACATTCAGACTAATATCCTCGTTTTTGTCGTTACTATCAATGTTATAGTAACAACAAAGAAAGGAACGTTAGTTCAAACGTAAATATTGGTTTTTCATTGAAATTTGGCTGAATCCATGTGACACATTCCAAATAATGTCAAGCCCAATTTAGTCTTAGAGTTGACATTTTTTCTGTTTTAGTATTTATTAAATCAAACTTGGAATTTATTGTTGATCTTTTTTTGACATCTCTGAACAGATTTAATTTGATAGGTTTATCAGCTGCTATTGGCATCATGTTTGAAAGAATGGCTCAGAATTTATCTTTGCTCACCTGATACTTCTACTCCTTTTAAGAAATAGGATTGACTGAAAAGTTAAAAAAAAAAAATGTCCCATGGAGTGGATAGAGACAGTTAAACATATTGATCTCTTTCAAGGCAATCAAGTTATTGACTGAATTTATTCATTTAAAGTTGTTTCATTACATATTTGGTTATTAATATTTTTTTTCAGCTCAAACAAAATGCAAAAACTTGGACCTGTTTATATAGACAATGTTTAGCCATCTATGGCAACCTGCATTTGGGATTTTTAAACGGAAACAGTTGAGAAATGCATTTCTCTCTATTTTCTTTCCAGTGCCACTCTCAATCTGACCGAGAAAGGAATGCCACCCTCAATTGATCATGTGGGTGTGCCACCTCTGGTCCGGCAAGAGAAAGGTAAGACTTTGCTAAGTGATTTGAGAAATTTCCGTCGTTTTTTTTCTTTAAGTGATAGAAAAAAAAAAAGTTTTCTAATCCAAGTTTATTTTGGAATGGATTTGTGGATTTAATTCATGGAAGACAGATTCATTGCAAACTACCTTCAAACAATATATATTTCAATGGAGGCATGTGTTTATATATACACACCCCCATATACACACACACACACACACACACACACACACACACACAATGTGTGTAAAGGTAGAAGTGTACATGTGTAATACTTATGTGTGTGTGTGTGTGTGTGTGTGTGCACACACTTCAAGATCTTTTCAAACATTTAGTTGAATGTTGCTAACAAAGATGATAAAGAGGTTTTCCTCGTCTTCTATTTTTAAGACAACTCTCAAAACTTTCATGTTTATATATTTCACTTTTCTCTCAAGATTGTGTGTGTGTGTGCGTATTGATAATTTGAGTGAAAAATAAATAATACAGCTTTGTATATAATAGATCCTCATTTTCAAACCTGTCTTGATAGAAAATGAACCTCAAATATGAGAGGTGACCACACTTTTCTAATTATTCTTCCTCTTTTATCTTAAGGGGATTTTGTCCCTTCTTTTTTTTTTTTAGGATTTTTAAAGTTTGTTTTAGGGACTATTTTTTGCTCTTTTAAGGGTTTAATTTTTTTTTCTTTACTTTTTAATGTTTGTGATCCTTTTACAAACTTTTTGGGGTTTATTTTTCCTCTTTTCATGGGTATTTCCCATTTTAAGGACTTTTTTGTGTTTTTCTTGTTCTTTTAAGGGATTTTTTTTATTGGAAAATTTTTTTTTTATACAGTGAATTTTGGCTTTGTTTCTTTTTTGAAAACTTTAATAAAATTTGTTTGAGATTTTAATGAAATAATTTATATATCACTACTGTTGAAGGTATGTCACTTGCAAGTCTCTCTCTAGCATGTTTGGATAGAATAGGTTTATAATAGACTATACTGAATCAATAAAAAAAATTACAAGACCCAGCCTAAAATCGGTATATTGAAAATTCTATTTTTATCTTTCTTTGCTTATTTGTAGTTTTTTTTTTTGTTTGTTTTGTTTTGGTTTTTTTTTTGTTTTTTCAAGAGATGAAAGAAATAAAAAAAAAATAAGTTTTCTTTTCTTTTTTTTTTTTTTTTTTAACAAAGTAATCTAGCAAGTATTTTCTTGCCTTGGTAAGAAAATATATTTAACCCCAATTGTGTCATGTATGTGCTTCTTCAGCTTTTGCTCAAAAGGAAATGTCTCTCTGGACTATTTACTTTACTTTCATGCATTATTAATGAAGAGACTATTTACAAAACAATATCTAAAATAAACAGACTTTCTATTATAAATTAATCTATTCAGATTCTCTCTCATGCCAATCTTGGACACACACACACACATCTCTATAAAGACTCACAGACTGATATAAATAAATATACTGGCATACATACATAAATGTACAGGCTTAACTAAAGTTTTGTCTTGCATATATTGTCAACAGCATAGCTGCTTTGTTTCCTTTATTTTACCTTCTCTCATATGGACACTTAGTAAATTTAATCTGATAGAATTCGTAAAACACTTGGTAAAGATTGAACTGACTGCTCATCATTTAACCCTTGCTAATATCAAATGCCCAGACATATACCCACCCAAAAAATGTCTTTTCTCACAAATGTACCTGGGTTTTTGCACACACACACACACACACACACACACATTTTTTAAATATTCACTTACCAAACTGCATTTATATACACTCTTGCATTTGTAGTGGAAGTTCACATATTTGTATTAAAGACACACACATATACACAACTATTTGTAAAAAAAAAAAAAAAAAATATATATATACAAGCTATGTTGGAAGTGTGTTTGTTTCTTTTGAACTCTGATGAATTTCCAACTTATTTCAATTCAAATCCCCCGAGAATTTAAGGCGCACGTGAAATGACATCACTATTCTTTGATGACAACACACACTAAAGCCATAAAGTTTCAGCAGATGTCACATTTTATTTATTTTTATTTTTTTCATATAACTAAACACCTCTTTCTCAATACACAACAAAACAAACAACAATAAAAGTCTAATGAAAATGATTGTCTTCTTGCTATAAATGGATTATATGGTTAGTTATCCTAGACAAGTAAAAATTCATACTATTTGTTTGAATATAGAACAGACATGCATTCACACACACACAGCTATTTTTAGCTTTTTTACTTTTACCTAATGATGTCAAAGGTATTTATTTTGTATAAGAAATATTTATTTTTCAATATAATCTCTCTTCCTTGTCAGTGCACTTTATTCAGTGATGAACATTAATCACTTAGATCAAACACATTATACAGTCAACATTTCAGATCAAAATTCATCTAATTGCTATATTGATCCACTCTTATGCAGCATGTGTGTGCATATACACACACACACACACATATATATACATATCACACGCACACACACATATATATATATATATATATATGGAACAAATATTTAAATAAATTTAACGTTTTGCTTTTACTTAAAAGCTTTATCAGAAAAATTATCTGATGAAGCTTAAATAAAAGCAAAACATGTTAAGTTTATAAAATATCATATATATATATATATATATATATATATATATATATATATATATATATATATATATAAATTAAATAAACCACATAAGATCATCAGGATGAACTGGAGCCAATTCACCCTGATGATCCCCTGTGGTGAAACCTAAGTAGGTAGTATCTGGCTCATTAGGATTTATTTATTTTACTTTTGCTCTACTTAGTTGTATTGAGCACTCTTCTTTTTAACTTATTACTCACTGTTTTTTTTTGTTTTTTTCTTTGTACCATAGACTTAAGGTACTGGATGATTTCTTTTACCCTGTTTGGAGGATTCTGGTGCTTTTATTTTTTTTTTACATTTTTCCTCGGATGCCAATTTACTTGAAAATTGTGCTTATCCAGGTTTTTTGCCCACTGAGTTTAAATATATTTACATTATATATATATATATATATATATATATATATATATATATAGAGAGAGAGAGAGAGAATATTAGTAATAAGAAATAGTAAAATTTATGGAACATCTGATCTTGAGCAATTTTGAAACTCTGGAGTGGTCAGTGAGATAGGTCCATTTGAACTTTTTTCTTTTTTTTTTATTTTTGAATATTCTTTATTTTATCATCTGGTCAGATTGGTCCATATTTGATCTTTAACTCGTATATATATATGCTCATGCACACAGTATGTACAAACCTTTATGCCAGACTGCATATATGAAATATATATACAGAAATATCTGCTTGAAATAATATTCTGCACAAAGATTTTATAAAAGTAAGATATACGTACGTATAATAGTATTAATTATGAATAGCTTTCAAATTTTGTTTATGTTCTAAAAATATATTATTATTATTAATAATAATAATTTATTTTCAAACAATCCTTAAAATATATTTGGCAAACATACATGTGATGTATTTCTGTTGGTGTAAATATAAACATTGAAATCTTAATTAATGTATCCCTGATAGTTTGCTACCTCTCTATTTGAAGAAGAAATTGATTCCGAGAATTGGCAAGTTCAATTTTACCTTTTTAAGAACAGAGCATTTGAGCAAAGGGGAGAGAAAGTCTTAAGGAAAATAGTAATGTTAAGGACACTTATTCTTAGAATCAGAAAGAGATACATCAGAAACTTCTGAGATGCATAAAGTGGAAAGAAGGCTTGGAGAATTTCATATTCACAAGACACATTGAAGGCAAGAGGGACAGGGAAATAAGCATGTGTAAATAGATGGTAGGTCAGAGGGTGTGTGAGGGATGGTTAGGGGACAAACATCACTCTGAAGGGACATGACACACTAGAGAGAGAGAGAGAAAAAGAATTAAATGAATATTGATAAATTAAGGTAGAATTTGTTTTCATTCAATAAACAAAAGATAATTACGTTGCCACATGTTTTATTCTGATAGAATTAAAGAGTTTTATTTTAATTCTACACTTATATTTTTTTCATCTGCAAGTCATTGCCAAATGATATCTTTTAAGGAACCTCTTCAACCTACTTCTCTGGCTTGACCTACTCATAGATATCCCTGCCCAATACCAACTTTTCTCCTGCTGCTATCTACATTTTTTCCCTTTGAATATTTTTCTGCTTATTTAATCAGAGCAAAGATTTCACTTGACTTTTTCCTTCAACTTTTCAGAGTCACAGGTAGAATTTCAAGTCAATAAGGCAGTTCACTTTATAAACTGTGAAATTTGGTAGAATTTTATTTGTTTTCAGCTGATAAGGAAGAAAGTAGATGTCTTGGTAAAATTCTTTTTTTTTTTTTTCTTTTTTTTTTAAGTGAAAATTTAGCAAATGTAATTGCAGTGGAGTCTGTATTCATCTTTTTTTTTTTTTTTAAAGTTAAAACAACAAACAATTGTGTTTGTTTACAGGAGAATGGAATCTGCTGAAGTAAAAATTAAAAAATGCACCTCAGTCAATAATAAAAAGAAAATTATCACCAGCTGTTGACCCCCACCCCTCACAAAGAAAAATTGTTTTTTTAACATGTTTCTGATAATTTTCTTTTTTATTTGTATCTCCTATATATTGGTTTCTTGGATTCCTCCAACCAAAATAATGTGCATGTTCAGTTGCCCATTTAAAAGGAATTCAGAACATAAATTTCCTTTTAGAATTTGAAATAAATTGGATGTACATATTAAAATCCTACATGATTTAAAGAAAAAAAATTGCTATACTTACATTCATATTGAAATGAATGTTTAAATGCAGCATCTGCTTAATGTTTACATGTGTACATACATAAAATTCACCTCTGTGTGTGTGTGTGAACATAAATTATATATTTATTTGAATATCTACACATGTATTTGCAATAAATACTTTTGCATCAAATTCAAGTACATTCATTCATACATACATATATATATATATAT